ACTTAGCCCCTTTCAAGCATCACCCTGTTGCCAGAGTGATCATTATAACATTCTACCCCATTTAAGACTCTGCAAAATTTCTCTATCACAACAAGATCAATTCCAAACCTATGACAGGAATACCCTTCCCAGTCTGGTTTCTACTTCCTTTCAAACCTTTTCTCTTGCCAGTCCCCTGTGTGCCAGCCATGTTTAACTACCTGCTAGTCAGCTTTTGCATATTTTCCCCTTTGCTCTATCTAGAAAGTTCTCTGTTCCGTATTACTACCACTCCCTCTTCCCCACAAATTTTCTAGGCTCAAACCTAGAAAACCCCTAATCATCTTTTAAAATTCACATGGAGGATCTTCTTCCCTAAGAAACCTTTCCTGACTTTCTCAAATGGAATGACAACTTCTTCTCTAATTATTGTCACCGGATTGTCCTATGCATATCATTCTCAAAGCATTTGTATCATGGTCTGTAGTTTTAGGCTACATGCCTGTCTCCGCCAACTAATCTATAAACATCTCGATGATAAGAAACTCTTACTAAATTTTGTAATTTACTTTCAGCAGAGAGTAAATACATAGTTCCTGGCACATAGAAAATGCAAAGTAAATGTTACCACATGGCTAGAGATATAAAGATAAGGAATTAATTTCAAACTCATATCATAGGAAAATAAATTTTTTTAACATGCAGATGACGGTTGATTTTTTTAACTTGTATACTTTGTCCAAAATGAGAAGGGTGTGTGGGTGTGTGTGTATGGGTATGTGGCATGTCCCAACTCAATTCTTGGGTAAAGTTAAATAACTTCCGTAAGCTTTGGTTTCCTTCCCTCTGAGACTTCATAAAGAAGAGTTAATTATAGCATCTGTTTCATGGGATTGTTGGAAGGCTAACTCAATAAATGCCCATAGTAAGGATACTTAGTAAGGTGCCTGTGTTAGTTTCCTATTGCTGCTGTAACAACTTGGTAGCTTAAAATAACACAAATATAGCACCTTAGAGTTATGGAGGTCAGAAGTCCAAAATTGGTCTCACTGGGCTAAAATTAAGGTGTCGGTAGTACTGTATTCCTTCTGGAGGCTCTAGGGGCCAGTCTGTTTTCTGCCTTTTCCAGCTTCTAGAGGCTTCCTGCGTTCCTTGGCTTGTGGCCCCTTGCCATCTTCAAAATGAGCAATGGCCCATTGAGTCTTTCTCACACTGCATAGCTCTGACACACACTCTCTCACCTCCCTCTTCTGCTTACAAGGATTCCATGACTACCGTGGGCTCACCTGAATAATCCAGGATAATTGCCCCATCTCAGATTCCCTAACTTACATCTGCAACATCCCTTTTGCCATGTAAGGTATGTAAAGTAACCTATTCACAGGTTCTGGGACTCGGGATGTGGACATCTCTGGGGGGAGCATTATTTTGCTGCCACGGTGCTCAATCCACTCATTGTAAATGATCAGTAATACTTGACTATTATTGTTGGAAATGCAGACTGTTTCTTAAACATTGTTAAATAGAGCTGTGTTATAGCTGAAACACTTTTGAGCCATACAGCCTTGATGTAATGTGGCCTTCTATTAATAACTTAGCATGAAAGAGTCACAGTTATTTTACTCCAAAAGTGGGTTAAGTGATTCACTTTTGAAAATTACCTTAGCCATTTTATTATGCTGGGATGCACTTAGAGTAAAAGGAAATTGGCATTTATTTAAAAGTACCTTAGGACTTCCCTGGTGACGCAGTGGTTAAGAATCTGCCTGCCGATGCAGAGGATACGGGTTCGAGCCCTGGTCCGGGAAGATCCCGCATGCTGCGGAACAAATAAGCCTGTGTACCACAACTACTGAGCCTGCGCTCTAGAGCCCGTGCTCCGCAACAAGAGAAGCCCCCGCAGTGAGAAGCCCGCGCGTTGAAACAAAGAGTAGCCTCCCGCTCACCGCAACTAGAGAAAGCCCATGCGCAGCAACGAAGACCCAGTGCAGCCGAAAATAAAAATAAAATATAAAAGTACCATAGTAGCCCTAAGGAAGACAATTTTACTTTCATTACTATTACTGCGTAGTAATGACTAACAGTTATTGAGATCTTACTGTATGCCAGGAACTGTTCCAAGTGTTTATGTATGTATTGACTAATTTGATCCTAATGGCCGGCCCAATAAGGGGAGGTGCTTTGATTTTCCTTATTTTATGGCAGTTGAGAGTTTGCCCAAAGTTTCAGGGCTAGTAAGTAGTGATGGGATTTAAACCCAGGTGGTCAGGCTGTAGAGTCTGTACTTTTAACCACGGCACTGTCAAAATAGGAATGTGGAAAAGGATGGGGCAACACTGAAAGAATGAACACTCTACTTTGGGCTGATATCTCTCAGCATTTTTGTAGCTCATCGTGATGTAGCTTAACAGTATTTAGTCTTACTGAATTCTGTCTTTTGTGCTTTTAAAGAATGCATAATAGAGGACCAACTGTGAGCTGAGAGTTGGTTAGTTTCCAGAGATACTTGAAAACAAATGGTCTAGTCAGTTTAGGCTTTTAAAGACAGGTCCTTTAGGCTTGTCGTCTTTGTCATTCTCTCAAAAATATAGTTTAGGGACATTAGCTGCAGCAACGACCGTATATCATGTGTTATCTTTCTATTCTGCCAACTTGCTTTGATATGGAGAGTTTAAGAGCCAGGAAACTGCTTTTTTTTTTTTTTTTAAGGAAGTTGTTTTTCAAGGCAGTGTTTCCTGAAAAAGCTGGTGTTTAAAGACTATTTTAGAGTAAACAAATATTATTAGCACTTTCACCCCTATGGTTAGGTGAAAAAGTTAAAGGAAAGATTATTAATAAGGCTAGTCATTACAAACAAAATGTTAAGAACAACTGTTGAAATATTTCATACGATAAGGAACTCCCTTTAAGTGAATTACACAGGGATATAACTGAGGAGTTGGCATTTGCTCAAAGTGTGTTGATAGAGCTGGATGCTGACTTACAGGGTCAGTGTGATAAGTCAATTGATTTTATGGGTCTTATACATTCATTATAGCCATGTTAGTGGAAATAACACGTTATGTGCAAAATCTCTATGCCAAAATTAGCAAAGAAGAGAGCAACTAATAAGTGAAAAATAAAATTATATCTAATTAGTAAATTTTTCTGTATGAATAAAATACACATTATATAGAGAACAAATCTATCGCATACATTTATCTTGATCTAGGATCAATTCTAAATCATTTTGAAAATCAACAATTAAATGAAATCTTTCATTTCACCTACTGCATTTAATATTTATTCATAATCACACAGTTTGGGGAGTGTGTTACCTGCACCACGTGGTCATGATTTAACTTTTACACTCCACCTTTTTACTTAGAATCCTGTTGACCTTAGTTAGCTAGAAAACAGCTTCTTTTCTATTTTGATTTGTAGTTAATGTTTTCCAAGTGTCAAGCACATGGAGAGAAATATTTTCTGTAGACTGATATTAAACATTTTATTTATATTTCTTTTTTTTTTTTTAATGGTCCATGGGCTGTTTGGAAAAGTGAGAGCCAAGTAGAGCATTCACTGTAAATGCTTTTAGGAAAAAAAAGTCTCCCTTGGGTATTTCTATAATGGGTCAATATCACATTCATTTATTTTAGTGGCATACTCAACCAGAGTGCTATATTCTGGAAACACTCTGTTGTCTATTTTGACTGAGTTAAAAATACATGATCTCTTTCAAAGTTTTCAGATTTTCTGCCTAAAGCTAAAGCTAGGGGATTCCCAATAGTCTTGGGTTGGACTCTTTATTTTGTCCATGAATAAATACCTTGAGAAAGTGACCAGTTGATAGTCTTAGTTTAATGCCTATTTCTTATAATCAAATTTATAGCTTCTGGTCGAAGATGAAGATAATATAGTTTCTTCTTTTAGTTTTGCTGGAATTGGAGTTTTACTTTTTGGGGGGGGGGTTTCTACGAGTGTTGGGAAATATTTGAGCCCTATTATTTTTATTATCTGTTGTGTGTCGTTCACTGAAATTTAGTGCCAAGTGTGGAGAAATAGAAGGCCGCAGGTAAGCTGGCATTGTTGTCCTTTGTGGAAGGTAGAAAGATAGGGAGAGCTTGTGTCCTGGGTACTGAGGAGCCTAAAATGATGTGTGAAATTGAGACACTGAGAAAGCAGGAAGGAAACACTGTAAGATTTGCCGCATTTTATTTGTGGTGAGTCCCAGGTGAGGTAGAATTGCCCTAAATTCTTTGGGCACTAGGAAACCTGGATGGGAGACTCAATTTCTAAACCTTTAGCTCTTGAGAAGCAATAGCCACCTCACAGGGTTATGTGATCTACGACAGAAGAGAAACTACTGGTTGTCTCGAGAAGTGGGTGGTCTTGCTGGCCATCATTTTCTCTTTGCGTTTGCCTGGGAAAGCAGCTCTAGAGTTTCCCTAATACGTTTTTTAAAATAAATATTTCTAGACAATTCTCTAGCAGTCCAGTGGTTAGGACTCTGCACCCTCACTACAGGGGTTACGGGTTTGATCCCTGGTTGGGGAAACTAAGATCCTGCAAGCCATGCAGTGCAGCCAAAAATAATAAATAAAAATAAAATAAGGGGCTTCACTGGTGGTGCAGTGGTTGAGAATCCGCCTGCCAATGCAGGGGGCACGGGTTCGAGCCCTGGTCCGGGAAGATCCCACATGCCACGGAGCAACTGGGCCCGTGAGCCACAACTACTGAGCCTGCGCTCTAGAGCCCGCGAGCCACAACTACAGAGCCTGCGCTCTAGAGCCCGCGAGCCACAACTACAGAGCCTGCACGTCTGGAGCCTGTGCTCCGCAACAAGAGAGGCCCGCACACCGCGATGAAGAGTGGACCCCGCTTGCCTCAGAGAAAGCCCTCACACAGAAACGAAGACCCAACTCAGCCAAAAATAAATAAATAAATTTATTAATTAAAAAAAAAAAAGTAAAATTAAAATAAAATAAAGTAAAATAAATACTTCTAGTAATGTTTTAAAATATCTTTGTTTGGTCTTTCAGGAACATTAAAAAAAGCCTATTTTAAATCAAACGGGAGTGAACCTTTGGTCACTGATGGTGAAGTCCATGTGTATGATGTTATTCTTCCAAGTACAACTCATAACGAGAGCACCGGGACATCTACTGCCAATCCCACCCAACACATTCCAGCCTGGACTATGGAGGCTTCTCTCCCAGGGGACCAAAATCACAGGAGCACAAGTAAGTCTGAAGGTACTAAATAGCTGGGCCCTTTAATGTCTGTGGAACCCACAGGTAGATTTTTAAGTGTGCTGATGCTCTTAATCACAGTCACTTACTGGTCACACAGGAAAAGCTCTGCTCCCTTATCTAGCAAGCATGTGCCCTGTTACTAAACATGAAATGCCCTCAGCTCAGCCATCCAGATAGGGACTGGAGTAAGAAATAAAAAGGTACCAATGCCATTCAGTGTTTCTGAGACATAAAAATTTATGCTGCTTGCCCCAGTATGACAGTGTTGATTTTACGGTGGTTCTGTTTTTTAAGTTTTAAGTTACTTATTTTGAGATGGTTAAATTAATAAGTAAACTAAGTTACTTATTTTGTTATTGGTGCCTTGTGGCAGGTATCCTAATTCTGTGGTTCTTCGAGGTAATTTCGCTGTAAGCATCTTTGCCTTAGACATCTTTGCTGTAAGCATTTCTGCCTCATAATTAATTGGTTGTAAGGCAATTTTACCATGAAAGATATAAAATGAAAGAGGGACATTTAAAAAGACATAATGAAATGTGAGAAATGAATAACAATTAAAAAGACATTGCTAAATACAAAATTTTTGAATATGTTTAAAATGTGTGTAGGTTCATGGTGACACTGCACAAATAATTGAGTTTATTTTGTGAGTTGTACCTTGTCTTCCAAGTCTTCTGTTTATAGTATTTTTATACACTTTTTTTTTGCTTGTTGATTTGTCTCCTCGTTCAGCATTGCACTCTATCTTTTTTGCTAAAATTTGTTCCTTTGTTAAGAGAGGTATCAGTTTCCAAATACTAGGATGCATATTTGTAACTGAGTTCTGTATTGCGCTGTGAAAGCCTTCTCCACTGGTGTTTGTTCCTCGCATACTGTCACATGTCCGTTGATAGACTTTCCAAAGTTCTATGGGAAATGTAGGTTCAGCTCTGCACCTCTGGGGCCCTCAGCCTCTTTCTCCTCCAGTGCAGTGTTTCAAGATAAGAAAGCAAATCGTCTTCTGTCAGCTCAATAAAGCCATCAGTAACGTCTCTAACCGGAAGAAATGATAACACATTTCAACCCGTTGAAACCAAACTGTCAACCAGGTGGTTTACTTTCATTGCAAAATTGCCTTACAGTCAATTAGTTATGTGGTGAAAATGTTTGCAGTGAGATGCTTACAGCGAGAAGTGGGAAGACCAGGCACGCAGTTCAATAATCGAATGCCAAGGGATTTGACAGGAGCTATCCCTTCGTTTGCTTTCGAGGTGTCTGTGTGTTCTTTCTCATTTCCTGGTTTTATTGGCTATGCAATTTATTTTACTTGTTGGTGACTGACAATCACACCTTGAGATAAATGGCATGGCCAAAACTTCTTTTTGAGGACACATGGAGATATTTGTCAGTTATTCCAGAAAAAGTGCTTGCAGAGAGAGAGAGAGAAGACAGAAAGGATGGAGATGGGTCCAGTTAGATGGCAACAGATGATATGCTCCGGAATGTGGCTCTATCCCTCAATACCCCTCCAATTTTTTTAGTAAAGTTACTAACCTTCCAGAATGCTAGTGGGAGTGGATTAGTGTGGAAAGTTACCTAGTCAGTGCTGATAAATCATAATCAGAGCACAGTCACTGTTAAGAGCTTTCTCTGCAGTTGTCTTGAGTCTTACTTTCTACTTCCTAAAACAAGGTTATGTGATTGAAAATTACCCAAAACCCATTCATCCCTGATCACTTTCTTGTTTGTTGCTCCCTCCTTCCTGAAAACCTCCAAAGGGAAATCACATCTTAGGTCTAGGACAGAATATTTATTTTCATTCTGAGCCAGGAAGGGAAGGATTAAGCTGACTCTTAAGCTATCATAGTATGTTTGCTAGTATCTGAAGAAACGCAGGATTATTCTCTCTCTCTAGCCCCAAAGAGTCAGAATGTTTGGCTTCCGTTGTTTCATGGAGTACTGGTAGATATTAACTGTTTCTTATGCTTAAGAGTTCACCAGCGATTTATACGGATTCATATTCATTACCTGACGGTAATACTACAAACCCAAATTATGCTAAGTAAAATTTGTTTTCCTCAAGAGTTTAATTTTGAAGTCTTTAATATTTCAGTCATGTCTTAAGCACTTCATTATTCTTTTTTTTTTTTTTTACATCTTTATTGGAGTATAATTGCTTTACAATGGTGTGTTAGTTTCTGCTTTATAACAAGCACTTCATTATTCTTAGGGCAGTGTTTTTCAACAAAAGGGCAGAAGTAATTTAAGCAAAAACTCAGTCCAATTAGTGTGGTTGCAATTATAGCAATTGTTATTTTCTTTTACAAGGTGGATTTGTCTCTATTTTGAAAGTTCTGTCATTTGTTAAGATTCAAATAGAGGTGACGAACACATACCCTGAAGAGTAAAGAAACATATGGTCCTTGCTGCTCAGTTTGGAAGTTTGATGGGAGTCTGTTTGACTCATTTTCTCTTCCTATGGGTAGAACATTGCTTGAGAATATGAACGTAATTTGACATGTAAAGGAAACCCAGGTGAAATTAGAATGATTAAATGTAGAAAGGTCAAAACCTTTGAAAATGTGTCATTCTGTCTTGTTAATGTACTTGACAGTTAGCCTTGGGCTTTACTGTCTCACCACATAGGCCCTCAATAGACTGTCTATAATAACTAAAATTATTTATTGTTAGGGATTTGATAGTTTTTCATACACTTCAGTAATACTGCTAGTCTGTGAGTATAGAGCTTTTGATAGTTTTCAGGGCAAGTTTGAATATTTTCTTTGTGGTCCTTATTATTATTTTTTTAATTTTATTGAAGTATAGTTGATTTACAGTACAGTGTTAATTTCTTCTGTACAGCAAAGTGATTCAGTTATACATATATATATATATATTCTTTTTCATATTCTTTTCCATTATGGTTTATCACAGGATATTGAATATAGTTCCCTGTGCTACACAGTAAGACCTTGTTGTTTATCTCTCTGTGGCCCTTATAAATAGCTGACAAGGTATGCAGGACAGACCATTTTTCAAGGTATGAAATTGAGGCTTAGGGAAATTAAGTTGATGTATCCGGTGTCACTTATTTACTAATTGGTAGCCATGGAATTGGGATTCAGGTCTTGGGACTCCTAGATCAGCGTTCTTTCAAGTATTTCATGCTTCCTTATTTAATTTCATTGCTTTCTTTTCAGTAGCAGGAGCATTTCTGAGCAAATTTTAAGCTCCAGGAGAGTAATGTATTTTGTTTACTGCTTTATAGCCAGTGCTCAACAAAATATTTGTTGAATGAATAAATAAATGAACTACAGTCATTTCAAAAATTTAATATCTGACCTCTTTTTTATTGGTGATGCCAAATCACACTTCTCACTTGATATTTATTTAACCAATTTTACTTAAAGTATAATTTAATGCTTATTTCTCTACTAACACCTAGCAGAGAATTTACTTTTATTCCTTTTTTAAAAAAATATTATTCTCTAATTAAAGTGTCATTCTAAATTTCTGGCATATGTAAAAGCTTTTTGAGTCCACTCTAGTCCAAAACTACAGTGGCGAGACATTCTGTCCTTCTCAATATCCTGGGTAGAAAACGAAGGGGAGAACTCCTGGCAAAAAGTACCAGGAAATAGCCTTTCCTTAAGACGCTTCCTTTTGGAGGTCCTTAATATCATGCCAAAGCACAGAATACTGCAGTTTGTAAAGTTTTAGCCAGATGCCTCCTAGGTTACACTGTGTGGCAGAGCTTTGTAAATGTGAAATAGGCTTTATGTGACATCTGTTACATCTGGAGTTTCATTAGTTACATTTTGAAAACCAGTTGTAATATGGAAAGGAAAAAGGCCCATAGCTAGCTTTCATGCTGTATCTCAGCAAGGGATTTTCCTAGGTTGCATTCTGTGTTTAGATTTTTATTTTCATCTTTTCTTCTTATATATTTTATAAATATTTAAGCATAAATTGAATTTTAAGGAGAGGGAAAAACTCTTTGACCAACCAATAGCTTTTGGGTTAAAAATAATATGGCACAAAATAAAATAGCCTAGAAACTCTAATCAGGAATTAAAGTGACATGAGAGTGGGCTAATGTGCTGAAAGCATAAAGTGTTTTGTTCTCTCATTGTGCTCTTTGATGACCAGCTCCTAAACCTTCTATATCAGATGAAAACACATCATACCTCTCATTTACTTACAGAAAGCTTTTTGAGGTATAATCCACGTACCATTAAATTTGACCTCTAATACATATAATTCAGTATTTTTAAAATGTATTCACAGAGTTGTGCAACTATCACCACTATCTAATTTTAGAACATTTTCATCACTGCAAAAAGAAATGCTGTATCCATTATTCCTCATTTCCCCTCTCCCTCAGCCTGTGTCCAAAACTAATCTACTTTCAGTCTCTATAGATTTGCCTGTTCTGAACATTTCATATAAAGGGCATCATACAATAAATGTGTGGCTTTTGTGACTGGCTTTTCATATTTTTCTTGGATATAGGCACCGCCCTGGCCTTCTAGTATCCCAGGGAATATGTCAGAGCTTTTCAAAGGCCTCTTCAGACATCTCATTCCCTAGTTCTTCCTTTTAAGTGTTTTGGTCAGCCTCTTATTTACAACAGGTATCCTTGCCTCAGGTAACTGTGATGTTAAACAATTGCCACAGATTGTTTTCCACACGTACCCTGGGGATGGAACTTTTTGCAAAGAGAAAGCTCTGAGATCAAGTAAAGACAAGTACTGAGAATGGATCCTTTCCGGGGAGCTTCTAGACAAGTTGAATGGTGATAATTCTCTGGGGGTGGCTTTTTGGGGAGCTTCAGACCCATTCTTCCCCCTAGGTTGCTGGTTTTTATAGATACCATGGTTGCAAGCTCATTGGTTTTCAAGGCTCCTGTAGAACTGAGGAGAGGGTGATGGGAATATGGCAAGTTAAAATGTTACAAAGTGGGACTTACCTGCTGGCGCAGTGGTTAAGAATCTGCCTGCCAATGCAGG